TTCACTCCCAACTCTTTTTCGATCTCCAAAGACTCTACTTCATTTTCATTATGTGACTCCACTTCTATTTTAACCACTTTGCCCCTTTCACTTTCTATTTTCTTTTCACTTTCTTGTGGCTCATCTTCTTTTTTCTCACAAAGGATGTTTTCTTCTCCACTGGATAATTCCCATAATGGTTTCTAGGTCTCTCCCTAAACTCCAGTTCACGCCGATCTCTCATATCCCTTCCTTCGAACCTATTATATTTATTCCTCAATCTCCGTACCTCATCAATACCACAACCATATCCATATGCATCACACATTTTAATTCTAGTCTCCCGTCTCCTAACATTTTGCACCTCATCACATTGATCCCTATGTAACTTAGCCAATTTCGAGTCAATCCTATCCATCTTATTTTCCATATATTCTCAATCGTCATCTCAAACCCCCTCATCATTCTTTCCAACATTTTTTTTAACTCTCAATTTATTTTCTGCCTCACAAATTTCACTTGGAATCACACAAATTTGGCCTTTTCCCTCTGTTGTTCTCACCACTCAGCCTTTTACCACTCAAACTTTCTCCAAAGCGCTTCAAGAACAATCAAAACTCAACCAGGAGTTATTCTCGCAGAATTCAAACCAAGTGAGATTTTCTAACCTTAAAGATCAAGACAAATTTTGAATTGGACTCAAAATGAATTAAAAAAGATTTTTTTTAGAGGGACTAAAATTTTTTTTTATGAACAGTACTGTCAACGTGAACAGTTTTTTTTTTTTTTTTTTTTTAAAAAAACAAAAAAAAAATTAAAAAAAAAAAAAAAAAAAAAAAAAAAAGAAAAAAAAAAAAAAAAAAAAAAAAAAAAAGAAAAAAAAAAAAAAAAAAAAAAAAAAAAAGAAAAAAAAAAAAAAAAAAAAAAAAAAAAAGAAAAAAAAAAAAAAAAAAAAAAAAAAAAAGAAAAAAAAAAAAAAAAAAAAAAAAAAAAAGAAAAAAAAAAAAAAAAAAAAAAAAAAAAAGAAAAAAAAAAAAAAAAAAAAAAAAAAAAAGAAAAAAAAAAAAAAAAAAAAAAAAAAAAATTTTTTTTTTTTTTTTTTTTTTTTTTAGAAAAACACAAATACAATTAAACAACCTAAGATTTTAGATCTAAAACTCAAAACTAATGGAAAACACGAAGAACACAAAAAAACGCAAAAAACAAAAGAACAAAAACTCAAACACAAAAACAAAGGGGTATAACCTTGATTTGTTGGAGCACAATCTCTAATACCACCTGATGCGAACCCACATAGCAATGAACATTACGGAACCTGCAGAAGAATGAAATCGGACCCAAGAAAGTTTCAAACAATAAGGTTTATGAATTTTGACTAAAAAACGATGGATTAAGCAACCCACACAGTCAATAGGACATGTAGACCTTTTAATCACACAATTTAATGAATCTAACTGGGATAATTTAAAGATCGACCCGAAAATTAAATGAACTAAGAAACCAAAACAATTACAAGAATACCTTGACCCATTGATTACACAATCCACGAATCTCACTTTGATTGATTGAACGCCACGAGAAATCATCCCGATAAGTTTGATAATATTTGAAACATAAAGCCTCCAGAGAAAATCTCCATTAATTTAATCTCAAAAGTCTTGAAATACAATGTAGAAAAATAAGCCTATTCATACTAAAAACCTAGAATAAAGTTTAAATGGAATAAAATTCTATAATACCCAGAAATCTAGTAAAACTGGAAATAGAGTCCTAAAATATCTAAATTACCAAAAATAAAAAATTGGACCAAAATAAAACTTCTCCAGATCACATCATGGTTTGTAAAGAACTTTAGTACAATCACTACACCACTTATGGAAGTAGTTAAGAAAAGTGTGGATTTTCATTGGGGCAATGAACAAGAACATGCATTTAACACCATTAAAAATAAATTGTGTAAAGCACATGTTTTAGCATTACCTAACTTTGACAAAATGTTCGAGATTAAGCGTGATGCATCAGGAATAGATACTAGAGCAGTGTTAATGGAAATGAGGCTTGTAGCTTATTTCAGTGAAAAGCTTAGTAGAGTTTGCACTATACTACCTAACGTATGATAAGGAACTACACTCATTTGTTCGGGCATTGGAGACCTGGCAGCATTAATTACGGGCTAAGGAGTTCGTGATATACACCGACCATGAGTCGTTAAAGCACTTGCGGGGTCAAGGAAAGTTAAACAAAAGGTATGCCAGATAGATGGAGTTCATTGAAACATTTCCCTACGTCATTCGATACAAGGAAGGTAAGGAAAACGTAGTGACAAATGCTTTATCTCGGAGGTATGTATTGTTAAATTCACTAAGTGCTAAATTACTTGGTTTTGAATGTATTAAGGATATGTAAGAAAATGACTTGGACTTTTTCAAAATCCACAAATCATGTGGTAAAGAGGCTATAAATAAGTTCTATAAACATGAGGGGTATTTGTTTCGAGAGAATAGGTTGTGTATTCCTAATTGTTCAATGAGAGAGTTGCTAGTAAGGGAAGCACACAGTGTTGGACTAATTGGGCACTTTGGGGGTACAAAAGACTTTAGAGATGTTAGGGGAGCATTTTTATTTGCCTAAGATGAAAAGTGACGTTGAGAAAATTTGTAGTCGATACATAACTTGTATAAAGGCTAAGTCTAAAGTTTTATCCCAAGGACTATATACACTATTACCTGCATCTAGTAAACCATGGATTGACATTTTAATGGATTTTATATTGGGTTTACCTAGGACTAAGAAAGGACGAGATTCACATTTTGTGGTGGTAGATAGATTTAGTAAGATGGCACATTTCATACCGTGTCATAAAATTGATGACGCCACTCACATAGCGGATTTGTTCTTTAAGGAGATAGTGCACTTATATGGGGTCCCTAATAATAGGGATGTAAAATTTTTAAGTCATTTTCGGCGAATTTTGTGGGGGTAAGTTAGGCACTAAATTGTTGTTTTTTACAACTTGTCATCCACAAATCGATGGGCAAACTGAGGTAGTCAATAAAACTATGACTTAATTGTTGTGCAAGATGATAAATAAGAACTCGTAAAGTTGGGAGGAGTGTTTACATTTTGTTGAATTTGCATATAATCAGGCTGTTCATTCTATACTTCATTTTCTCTATTTGAAATTGTTTATGGTTTTAATCCACTAATTCTATTAGACTTAATATCGTTACCTGTGAATGAACATAGTAGTTTAGATGGTAAAAGATAGGTTGAACTGGTAAAGTCACTCGATGAAAAGGTTAAGTTGCAAATTTGAACAAGAGTAAGTTTATTGCATCACAGGCAAACAGAGGCAAGAAACGTGTGACTTTCGAACCAGGTGATTGAGTTTGGGTGCATTTCAGAAAGGAAAGTTGTAGCCACGGGGAGATGGGTCATTTCAAGTTATCGAGAAGATCAACAACAATGCTTACAAGCTGGATTTCCCAGGTGAATATAATATTTCAGCTACATTCAATGTGTCTGATCTCTCTCTTTTTTTATGCAAGTTCAAATTCGAAGATGAATCATTTTGAAGAGGGAGGGGATAATGTGATCCAAGAGCTGACCCAGCAAAGACAAGTCCAGGACGAGACCCGTTGATTATCGAAGGTGGATCGATATCGCGTTCGAGGGCTATCAGTTTAATCAACAATTGATGAGGCAATGATCTTGGTGCAAAATAACACAAGTTCAATGTTGGGGTCGAAGGCCGAAGGCGATTAGATCAACTCGATATGCGCGGACGAACATGGGACCACACAATGAACTGTGCTACCGCACATTGCAAAACCCCATGTGGTTGCATGGTGGCAGTCCGAGAGCCAAAGGGGGCTATTTGATTGATTTGTGCGGCTGCACAGAAAACAACCATGTGGTCGCATGGTTCAAACTCCGGTCCAAAATTTCCTTTTTTCTCTAGTTGCCATATTTTAGTAGAATTCTAATTTTGGTCAAATTCTTGTAATCTTGGACGATTATTTTCCATTTTCTTGTAGATTTTTAGGGCTTTTGAGATTAGTATAAATATGTTACCTTTTTTCATTGTAAACAAACATTACATTATTACTTTGAGAGAATTCAATAGCAAGATTATTTGCTTTCAACTCTTGTTTTTCTTTGAACAGTGAACACTTTGAACTTATCAAGGATTACATTCTGTGACGTTCTCAAATCCGGGTGCGAGTCGTTGATCCTGTAATCAAGGGGTCTTTCAATCACCGTTATTGTTGGGTTTCTTGGTTCACTTTTCTTGGGTTCAAACTCACAAACCGGTTAATTGGCTTTTCTGGGTTTCCTATCAATCTCATGTGGGTTCCATAGTTACAATTGCTATGTGGGTTTGCATCAGGAACTATTGTTATACCTATAAATTATGTGGCATATGCATGACGGAGGAGGTCTCATATTGTTCGACTCGACATCTATTATTTAACTGGATTAGGCTTATTAAACTAAGCAATCGGTCTTGGGATTGGGTGCATTCTATATATATATATAAGGTATGTTTTTAAACCTTAGCCAAATTCCTCTCCCGTTTCTTGCACTCACTTCTATCTCTTTTGGTCGTTGATTTGACCATTGAAGTGCTAACAATCTTTGGACTAACGGCATTTGCTTCCTAATGAGGTGTTTGAATATGCTAGTAATGTCTATGTCAGAGGAAGGTGGTTGAGATTTCGTTGGTGTATTTTTTGAGGTTAATAAAGATCATATATTCTGTCACGCTTTTTGTATCAGATAGTAGCTACGTTGAGCAACATTTAGAAACTATTAATCCACCGACTCAAGATACATGTTAGAATTAGTTGTATGACTCATTTCTTCAGTTCATGTAAACTTTATTTCTATTTGAGCACATGTTTATCACACTAGATAAGTCATTTGGTGTTATATGTATGTATTATTCTAATGGGCTCGCTGCATATTAAATAATTAACATTTAGTAGACTTTTTTAATTCTCGATACGATCCAATGAACAATCCATAAGACTCCTTGACCAGTCCGATCAAAAATTACGTTCCTAACAACCTAGCTACATATATCCAGTTACAGAATTTCATCTACAATCAAACTATAGCAAATTGTGAAGTTATTCACAGCTTTTTGTACACCCAGGATAATCGCAAGCCTTTCCTCTGAGCAAGAAGGAGAAGGAGGGAATTCCATTTCTCATAGTTCTTAAGATATCTGATGCAGAAGGCCTGAGGCTGGGAGAATCGCAAAGGCACATTGCTGAGAGGGAAGTCATGACCTTGGCTTCTTCCAAGTCAAAGTCCCCACCGAGATGTGGATCCACAATTTCCACCACCTTCTCTGCGTCTCGCAGCATTGGGTCAAGTTTTCTTGTCAATCTCTCTCCGCTATGCGCACTGAAGGCTTCCATTCCCGTTATGAGTTCCAATACAACGACTCCATAGCTGTATACATCATTTTTCTTGGAGGCAAGCCCTGTCCTGAAATATTGAGGATCTGTATAGCCCGGAGAACCAAGCATCATCCTGTTTTTTCCATGGGAAGATTGTGGAAGCACTGTGGAAGAAAATCCCATCTTTGCCGACCCAAAATCGCATAGCTTGCAATTCAGTTTCTCGTCCAGCAATATGTTCGAAGATTTTATGTCACCATGGACGATTTGTAAAGCGCATTTTTCATGGAGGTATTCGATTGCTAGAGCAAGTTGGAATGCTATTGCCATGCGTCTCTTCCAAGGAAGCACTGGCGTCTTTCTTCCCGTCGATTTGCCTATACAGTGAAGTTTCTCCTGCAAATTTCCATTGGGTGCGTACTCGAGTATCAGAAATCCTTCATCTGGAATCAAAATCAAAAGCAAGTCATTAGTATTAGTATATGCTAAGGTCCAAGAACTAGTATTACAAAAAGAAAAAATGTCCAAGTTTTAATTAATTACCGCACCTTGATCATCACAATAACCAAGCAGCTTCACTATATTATCATGCTCTAGGTGGAGCAAGATCTCCAGTTCCTGCTTGAACGCTTGATTGAGACGGTCACTTTGGCTGTGGATCTTCACGGCCCCCATAGTTGAGTCGGGATATTGAGCAAGATAGACAGTACTAAATCCTCCATACCCGATCACCGAAGAGAAATTCATTGTGTACTTCTGCATCTGGTCCCAGGTGTATCTCCTGGCGCCAGACTTGATGCTGTCATTTCCTTCTAGATGATTGCCATCTTTAATGGATGCAACTTTATCAACGAAGCGTTTACGCCTCAATTTGAATTTGAGGAACTTAAGAAACGACGCGAGACACATGACAGAGAGTTCTTTAAGAAACAATGTCTATGCACCAATTGCTATGGAAACTTTGAAGTGAAAACAATGCCAATTGGAATGGAAACTTTGAGGTCAAAAGACGAGTGATGGATTATAAAAGGGAGGCCGGCGGTGGAATGGCATCAGTAGGTTCAGGATGTATTGTTGGTTGGTATTACCTTTGAAACAACGTGGAAGGTGGATATAGAAGAATAAAAAGCCTAAGATACATAAAATAACATAGAATTGATAAAACTTCTCAATTCTGATGTCTGAATGTATGACTGTTACAGATAATCATAAGCAAAGTTTTCTTACTACGTTAGTTGTGACAAATTTCTATCCTGTCGACTGTAGGCAGGGGATCAAATCTGTTAGATCAGATCTATTAAATAACATTAAGATACTCGGCAATCTTGGGAAGGTATAAGAAGAGTGCCACAGGGCAATAACCTACAGACAAATAGACTGGTTCCGTCCTCGTGTGATTTTGAAATATTGTTGTTTGACTAGGTGCTGGAAGGTGAGGCCTCCATGGACCACACATGTTTTTCATTTTAATATATATTGGTACCAGATGACAGACTTTAGAGTTGACTACCAACCAACCTCTCCTTCGTCCAATAGGAAAGGTAATATAATATGGATTTATAGCGATCGGTAATTATTGTGTTTTTTCCAATGTCAGGTGGTTAGATTCAGTGTTTTGGTTAGATTTTGCCGTAAATGGAGTCTGCTTGTATTTGGGGATCGAATTAGATCCATTCTGTCTTTTGCTTATGGGTATTCACAATCGGCCTGGATCAAATCCCTGTTTCCAATTCCCGTGTCTTTAGCATTACACATTCACAATTGGATTATGTCATTTGTACTTATTGGTTTACATGTTGGTAGACAAGGTCTCACCCGACCTCTCACATGAGAGAGATCGGGGTCCACGCCCAAATGTGTGGGTCCGACCTCCCTATGTGAGAGGGGAGGTGAACCTGTGTCAACCAACATGTAAACCTCCATATACTCATAAGAAGACCCTTCACAATTACAGCTAGTCAAATAATTAAACAAAGATCCCATCATGATACGAATTGAATGCGAAGTGGCGTGCTAGCCTTTAATTTCTTTGTTTATTGATATAAAAGTTTTCTATTAAAAACATGGAAATTGAGTTCAGATAATGGTGGGATACGAAAATCTATTTTTATTATCCCCCAATATGCTGTACCAATATATGTAAACTCCGGGGTAAGTGCATTTTTTCTTTTTTCTTTTTTTTTTTTTTAAACCTTCATACAGCATATTGGGGATAATAAAAATGAAAAATTTAGTGGGAAAAGGTAAAAAATTTTGAGAAAAACCAATTAAAATTCCCGAACTAAATTATAGAACACACAATTAATGATTTTGAGAATATCTAATTATCCACTAAAATTAAACAACAAAGTCTTGGAGTTTAAGCATGAAAGGTACTAAATCTCTATCCACCATTGTTTACCTACTTTAATCCTTAATTATCTGTTATTAATCAATACTTACTTTATGTTATATATTCCTTATATTTTAATTTTCTCTCTCCAGATAAAAATTAAAATAATTTTTACTTACAATCCAACTATATTTCTATGATGAATTGGAAAAAGTAAGAAACAAAAATATCACAAGAAATTGCACATCTATTTCCTATAATGTATGCCTTGTTTGGTGGGGATAAAATCAAAATTTTAATAGATTTTGATGGAAGTTGGTGAAACATATGGTTGAAAAGTTGTATGACTCATTTAAAATATGTGGTTAAAATAAATTGTTATTTTGACTTAGAGTAAAATCTAGATTTCTATTGGTACCAACATGGGCTATAGTGTTGCTTTATACCGAACCTCCCAGTATTAAAGTAAATAAAAAGTACTTGTTATCCTTGAATCTCTTCAAAAATTAATTTAAAACGAGCAATTAATTAATGAAAGACTCAAAAAGTTTTTATTGTTATCTTAGAGGGTGTATTCAAATTGAAACTTCTAAAAATTTTGATGAACTTTTTTTTAAGTGATGACTTTTGTAGATTTCTCGGATTTTTTGTAGATTTATATGAAATTAGTAAAAGTCTTTCATGAACTTCTATAAACTTTCATTTTAAAACTTTTATAAACTTTTGTAAAATTCAAAAGACTTTTGAAAACTTTCATTTGAAGTAGAATTCACGTAGATCTAATGTAATAATGTGAAATTCTTATATACGAGGTGGTGATTTCCACAATTTTCCTTTCCCTTTCCCTATGATAAAAAAAGTTCAATATTCAATATTATGAATATAATTTACCTTCAAAAGTAAATAAAAAATAATATAGTTAAATTTAATTATAAATTTGCTATATGAAATTTTATAATTTAATATAAAATGATAATTCACAAAAAAAAAAATGAATGGGAGAAGAAAAAAGGTTTTAAGAATTCAATGTAACTTTTTTCCATAGAAAATGAGTTAGTCTATACATACTGGAAATAAATATAAAACTATTACAGGAATTTGTATTTGGTAACGTGGCAGACCACTTTCCAACAAATTGGACCAAAATCTGGCTATGAGCAAAATCGGTTTCACCTAAACAAAATCGTTCATTTTCCCCAAATTTCCCATATCCCCCGTC